TTAGTTATAACTGAATTGCGTAATCAAGGCAGCTTCATATTCATTCCCATTTCAGGCTCTCTAAATAAATATTTGCCATGTAGTTTCTCACTATCTATTGATATTTTTTAAATTACTAAACAGTAAGGGGGAAAAAAGAGAACAATTCCTCTGATATGTAGAATCTCTACTACTGGAATAATTACCAAAATAATTTGAAATTTCATGGGAGTATTTTATCTAATGTGAGAGAAATATATGGCCAGCAAAAAGAAGGTATATTTCTAAACAAAAAAATCAAACAAAACACCAAAATGCGAACACATACCTTATCTATTTTTTCTAATACTTCTACAGTGGAAGGTTTTGCCTGCTTACAAGGGAAAGAACAAAGATATTAATATCACTTTTAAAAACTCAGTATTTTGAGGATTACTGTACATTAACAGTTTCCTAACAAAAAGACATTCATAGAAGATTAATAAATTATCTGTTTTACATAAAGGTAAGAAGATTTCCTGCTTAAGTGTGACAAATAGAAGGGACCATAAAGAATCACTGCTTTACAGCTGGCATTACTCTTAACTGAAGGCTCCAATCCTACATCACAAAAAATGAAAACCTCTAATGCATCTACAGCAATAATGAATGTGTGGGTGGAAACTAAAACAAGAACAGAATTGATGAGTGGCAGAAATAGGCAAAACACAGAATATATAGAGGAAGCCCTAACCTGAGTACTCCAGCTTTTTATTACAATTCATTCCATATAAGGACACATGGTGTAAATAAATCATAAGCAATTGCAAATAAGGGCTGTCATCACTAGTAAAATTCCCCATAGGAGCAACTGGAAATCCACCTTCTAGGAATCTTTCCTAATTTCTGAGAATTATCAAGCCACAATCTTTTACCGCCCTTCACACCACAAATTCAAAAACCACAGCTCACACTGCAAACCCTGAAAGTGAAGTTCTATCATACAAAACTGACATTCCACCTAAAGTTTCACCTTTAATGGAGTTTTGTATGGAAGGCTCTGAAGTCAACTGCTAATAAGCAAGGGCAAACCTACAACTAAAACAACTCACACCTGCCAGGAAAGTAGTCAAAAACCTCATGCCTCTTCTTCCTTATAAACTCAGTACACCACTCAATAACCAATAAAAGCAGATAAAAAGTCAAACTTGTACTGGACTAAGTAGCTACCAAACTGCCAGAACAGCCAGAAATGTATTCTGCACATACCCATTTTTACCTATGTCACCAGTGTTTCAAATCACAGATGCTTCAGCTTCTATCCCAATGATGCACCACAAAAGCATTTAGATTCACAGAAAGAGTTACACCTGTATTTTTTTAAGTTAACCAAGACAGTGCCAGAGTGGTATTGCAAAGGAAATAAAGGAAGCAGCAGAGTTTCACAGCTTAGTGATTTAGCAAAGAATACTTTTGGTCATGATATCTCACTATTGGACTTTTAAGTGACATACAGGAAAAGTTTAACACTATCATTCAGCCAGCATTAATAGTCAACATGTCCTAGGTACTCCCACCTTCTAGACAAAAGATTATTACACTGTTACACAATGTTACTTACCCTCCATCTTGAAATTAGTCCACCCATCTTCTATTGCGGACAAATGCTGGCAGAGCTATCAATCTTCTACAAGAATTCACAGCTAGAAAAAAAGCATTAAGCACTTAGGAACAATCTAACAACAGAATCAAAGATTCTCAAATTCATTCCAACTTCTTAAGGAATCAAAATATTGTATAAAGACGTTGTCTAGGTATCTACCTATGTGTAATTTTTAAATTCAGTTTTCTGATTCATAGACCATCCTGTCAGTTGATCAGCTAAGATGTGGCCAAAGTTTTTTATTTTAGAAATACACAATCAGAGGGGAGTTCTCAAAAATGCAGGCACAAATGAACTGCAAAAAGAGCCACCAAAATACTCCATCAGAAAAACAATTTTAAAAACTTAGTATTGGGCAGGATTATTTAAGATTTAACTAATTTCCAGTTATTTCCTCTGCTGCCCCTAAGCATAACTCAGTATTCCTTTTTAGCTGTCACTCCAGGCATTTAACATTAACATCTTTCTGTTCATGGGAAAAATTCTCAAATAAATCTATTTCCTTTTTATGCTCTCATTAACCAGAATATGCTGGATAGCACTACTGTTCTTTTGTGTGCTCAGTTTTAAGTTCAAAGAACCAGTTTCAAAGACTTCATTTGCTATACAAAAGCACTACATGGGTAGGTCTTCCCTGCTCAACCCAGTAATCAGCACATCAAATGAACTCTAAAAAACTCTAAAACAGCTCCAAAGGGGCAAGAGCAGCTCACTTCACCCTACACAAACCTGGAACCCATGAACAACATTATTTGATGATCTGAGTCTAAGCTCCTGAACCAAAATTGTACCAACTTTCCATTACAAGACAGTTGAATCAATTGAACCTTAGGATGGCAGATTTTCTCTCCAGTCATTTAATACACAAGTTTCTTACCTACTGAACAAAGAAGTAAACTGTTCAAAACAACCCTGACAGTAAACTAATGCTCAATCCCAACCAGGGTTCAAACCTTTTTCATTCTGGAATGAAACACTACTACTTACTAAAACAAAGCACAGATCTAGCTAGACAGAAATATAAGTGATCATTATCTTGTTTATTAAGTTTCCTTTGGCTGAAAATGGAAATATATATTTCAGTCCAAATTTGTTTTCAAATTGTCTGAGGCTGTTAGAACAATTTCACATGTATAAGATATGCACTGCTCACTAGCACAAACACTACAGTAGCGTGGTAACCTCTTCATCTTTTAGGAAAGCCAAGGACTTCAGAACTATAGGCCCTACTGGCTTCAGAAACCAATCCTTAAAGAAAAGGAAATCTGTATCAGAAATGCCATGAAAACGAAGCAAGAGCAGATGGGCAAATTAGCTCTGCTCCTGCCAAATTAGCAGCACAAAGGGGTGAGACACAGAAAAAGCAATTACCCTTGGACTCAAATTCTCAAAATAAGCACTACTGGAGCAACTCACCTCAGTAAAACAGCCGTCTTTCTTTTTTTAAACACACAATCTAACACAAAGAATTTTACACAGCTGTGACTTTGCATATACAGGCAGGTTTTTTGCAGGATGGGTATTGCAGCAGATCTGAGCTTACACTTTCTTTCCAGATATTTCTACAGACATATATAACTTTTATATTGTTTTGCAATAAAGAAACTGTGTCAAATAGCCAATTGAGAAGTCTATAAAGCCAGCACAAGGCTCCCAAATCTAGCACGTTTCCCTAGCATTGCCACTGCCATTAGGAGCAATGATAGCTCTCAGCTGTGGACAGAGAGACACAGAGATGCTCACACAGCCTTTGCGTGTGCCATTTGCCTTCAAACCATAGCCTGAGAACCGCTCTGCTAGAAGTGTTAGAGGATCTTTTGGGAACAAATTATCCATGACCTATTGGTGACTCTGACTTATATCAATAACACATCCACAGTGCTATTGCTACACAAGTGTTTTTAAATCTGGCAAATGCTTGGAAGAGAAACAGGTTCAACAAGTGTCATTATGCGTGTGATTTTACAGGAACTATGATGATGACAGGCTTTACAGAGGCTGCTCTGCAAGTCCCTAATACTACCAAAACCCTTTCCCCCAAAGAGGTATTAAGATATTAGGGCCACTAGATTCACATTTACAGTTTAGTCACTGAATCCTCAGTGAGGAGATGGAACATTTTCTATAATTGCTATGGAGTGCCTCTGACATCTTCCTTCTTCTCTCTTCTTGACATGACAACACAAATTGTCTTCAGCTGCTTCAACCTTTCCTCCTTCCTCACCACTCCATGTACCTACCACTAATATCCTACCATTCATGGCAAAGATCATCCACAAGTTGCTTCTTTCCCGTGCTCTAACCAATAAATTATTGCATAAGACTTTTCCCTCCTGAAGACTGCACTCTAGCACAGAGCTGTGCATTTCACTGACTAAGCAGTAGTGCAGTTGGACTTATTTCCACACAGGTTATCACTGATGTAATACACGAGTAAGATAGCTGCAACATGTCCTAAGCTTAAAACTGACAAAAGAAGCATTAAAACACCAAACAGAGAAGCTTAAGAAAACACTACTGCCAATTTTATTACCTGACTCTCTCAAAAAAATATTTATAGCAGCTCCGCTAGTCCCAAAACATTTAAATTATTTATTAAAAAGCAGAAGTTCCAGACTAAGAGACTAGAGCAGAAAAAGCTTCTCCTTTGAAAAAGGAATAAATCCACTAAGTCATCCATGCCCATCCAACCAGGTGGAGAAAATAGCTTCATGATCTCATTACACTTTTATCAAGTCAGTCTCAAATTTCTTCAGGGTCGTTAATGTTTTAAAAATTAAAAGTTCTCCAAAAACTCAGTCTCCCAAGTAAATTTTAATAACAGACATGCTGAAATTCAAGACTGAATAACATCAAGAGAAGAAATATTACAAGAAAAAAAAAAGTTAGAAACTTGTAATCAAGGCCTTGCATACAGACATACAGACCTCTCCCCTATAGCAACGGGCAATGCTTTTGAAATAAGTCTTTTTTGCATACTTAGTGATTCCACTCTATGCAATTATTTTTAGGTATTTATTATTATAAAGAACACAAATTCTACTTCTCACATTGAATCTCCAGTTCTGCTCACAGTGCGCTCAGAATTCACTGACCTCACAGGTCCTCATGGGACCATGAAAAGTTTTTCCAGCTGAGTGCCGTGGACAATGAAACAAGCGAAACCAAACCAGGAGCATCACCCACCGCTTACTGCTGGCCTGTCCTAGGACGCCTCAGAAACAACAAAATACTAAACTTTTTTCCCATTTAAACTTCATTTTCGGCTGTTTCCGTCTGGAAGCATCCCACAGAGGTCCTACGCTTTGTAGAGCCTTAATTAAAAAGGCAAACTGGCTCTCACACGGGCTGCACAGCGACGGAGCGACAGGCGGGTGGGTCAGGCGCTCTTTTTTGAAACCCAACCCCTCGCAGCCAGCGCGAGGGGCCGCCAGCGCCGGGGCCCGGCAGGGCGTTGGCAGAGGTCAGCGGAGCCCCCGGCTCCCCGGGCCGCCAGCCGGGACAGCCGCACGGCGCCGCCGCTCCCCCGCTTCCGGGCACGGCGCCCGCCGCCCCTCCCGCAGCCGGAGGCTTCCTCCTCCAAGGCAGCACCACGGCCCACCCCGCCCCGCTGCCCCGCGACGAGGAGGGAAATGGGGAAGGAGCACTTGCCGCCCCGCTTAGTGCCCCGGGGCCGGTACCTGAGCGCTGTTATCGGGAGCGCCGGGCGCCCCTCTCCCGCCGCCCCGCGCCCGTCTCCCACCGGGGAGGCGCTCGGGGCGGGGCCGGGCCGGGCCGCGCATCCCCCGCCATCACGTACCTGCCGCGGGCCGGGCCGCGCATCCCGCCCGCCGCCAACGCCGCCGCAGGAGGAGCGCGCGGCCCGGGCGCTGCTCCCAGCAGGCCCCGCGCGGGTGCAGCAGCCAATCAGCGCCTCGCTGCCGCGGGGCGCGCTGGAGCGGAGCGGGGCGGGGCCGGGCTGCGCTGCGCTGCGCTGCGCTGCGCGCGGCGGTGGTGTACGGGGGCTTTGGGGGGTGTGGGGCGCGTTCTGCTCCGCTCCATACAGGGCCGTACCTGCCCGTACCCGGCCGTACCTCTCCCGGCCGTACCGAACCGTGCCGTCATCTGCCCGTCGCCTCGCGGCCCGGCCCGGGCGGTGTCCCGAGCGGCTGTGCCAAATGGAAGCGAGCGGGTGTCGGAAGGCGCTCACGGCCGGCGGGGCCGGGGACGCCAAGCCCGTCTTCCTGCGGCTCTCGCTGATCCCTGCTACAAAAAGTCAAGGTGTTTTAATGCAAAATCCGAGGAACGTGAGAGTCAAACTGTCATGTGGAGGTGTGCAGGCCTTCTGACACTTGGTGTTCAGCCAGTGAAGCGGTGCTGACAAAGAGCCGCCGTGCCGGCCGTCTGTTCTGCGGGCAGGCGCGGAGTCCCCCGAGGGGCACAGCTGAGGGCTGCTCTCACCGTGCCCTTCGTTCCTCTCGGCATGTGTTGAATATTTTTGGAGAGAAGCAGAACTCTGAATTTAAGTCCCATTACTGTAATAACTGTGTCCTCTATCAGCTTTCTTACTTCGCTGACACCCATCCCTTGCCTCATGCCGAGAGGACACAGGAAAAGAGAATAAATACTTTCTCTGCACTATCGTTCTGACATGCCTTGTTCAGAAGTTTTACCACTACAGTACACAAGTGCACGTGCATAGATGTGGAAGAAAGTCCTTCAAAGTGCCTTGTAGCAAAAATTCCTATGTGAAGGCTGTACATCTTCAGCTGTCCCAGAATTGTTGAATTTGTATGTAACAGTGCATCACAATACAGCCTATAAATGTTGGGGGTTTTCCAGTTTTGGTAGGTTGACCCTGGTTAGGAGGTAAACGCCCATACAACCTCCAGTTCCTTCCCCCTCAGGAAGGCAGGGGAGACACTAGGAAAAGTCAGAGTTCGTAGGTTGTGGTAAAGGAAAGTTTAATAAGTGAATGAAAGAAAAAAAAAAAAAAGTGATGCAAGGGACATAACTAACCACCTCCGACAAGCAGACTGATGCCCAGCAGGTCTTCCAGCAACTGATGATTCTGGAGAACAACCAACCCCACACACCTTCTTATTCTGAAATTCTAGTTTTATTGCTGAGTATGACGTTATGTGATATGGAATATCCCCTTTTCTGTTTCCCTTCCCCAAATTCTTGCCTACACCCAGCCTACTCTCCAAGGGAGCAATGCATGAGAGAAGGTAAAGCCTCGGTGCTGTGCAAGTCCTGTTCTGCAATGGCCAAAGTGTTGCTGTGTCAGAAGTGCTGTTCTAGTCACAGAGTACGAAACACAGCAGCATATGGGCTGCTGTGAAGAAAATTACTTCACCCCAGCCAGACCCTGTACATGAACTCAAAAAGAACAGGCAAAGCTTTTAGGCCAGGAGAGGACAAAAAAGATATTCCACCACCTGTCCGGGCAGCATAATCAGCCTCAAGCTTTAAGCGTAGAGCTGCTGAGTCTGATCATCTGCAAGCATTCATTCTTAGTCTGGACTTTGGGATGTTGATCCTTTTAGCTCACACCAGTGTTCAGTGTGAATCTTGGTGCTCTACATGATTACACTATCAGATATGTAGTAACTTTAGCTGTGAATCATGGTTTAGAACTGGCTTCAAGACACTTAATTCAAATCAAAATAATGGTGGTCAATGGAGAGCCACTGACTCTACTGGAAATACTCTGCTATCAATTATGGAGGTCACTTACATATACAACTTCATTTTTCTCACTGAGGCCTAGTCTGTTCCTTCCTTTCCAAGTGGAAAAAAAGACTCAGTGACTGAGCCTCTCCTACTCTTCATGTTGCACTCTAGAGCCACTTCTACTTAAATCCCTGTAACAATGACTATCATTTTACTGAGAGGATATGTTTCTTTTTTGTTTCAGATCAATAGTCCACTTCTGACTTTGATACTTCAAAGTGGGATGTTGCTGGAGAGAGGCCAATTTAACTCTTCATTTTTAAGCTAATGCATTGAAGTTTACTGATATCTTTTTTCCATGGTCCAGCATCATATCTACTTAAAATAACTGCAAATAATGAAGATACCAAGTTTAAAGGCATTTGAAAATGCTGCAGGCAATATTAGTTTCTCCAAGAATCTGCTGCATTTTTTTTTTCTTTTTTTTCCAGAAATATCATAAATACTTTCAAGTCGCAACAAAATTGATTCCTGGTTCAGTGCTGAACCAGAATTGTGAAGGACATCCCAAACTCCACTTCTGTCCTTGGGGCCTTTTGCAGAGCTGGTTTTTATGCAGGCCTTTGCCATGAAGTTCTACACATTGCTATTCAGTTATGGATCTCTGTAACTGGTAGTTTAAAAAAGTATTGTTAGCTACCATTACTGAACCTTACATGCAGATAAGCCCCTCAGCTGGGTGATGTTATAAAATAGCATGCAGCTCCCTGTTTGCTTAAGCACCAAAATCTACCTAAAAAAAAAAGAAATTATGCCCATGTAGCTGCTGAGGATAATAAAACTGAGTGTAAAAACATAACTTTGAATCAGCCAGCTTAAAATTTTCATTAATCTGGTTCAAAACTGCCCCCTACAGAGTATTTAAAACTCTTAAATAGATTCCCTTCAAAATCCTTCATTATCAGTGGGATTAGTGTTTAACCTGATTTTGCATAACTGCTCTAGCAGCAGAGTACATCTTCAGAATTTTCCTCAGCAGTTAGGAAATAGGCAGCATTTAGCTGTTCTATATGCAGAACTCTGAACAATCAACTTATTTTAAAAATCAAACAATAAGTTTCTTTTAAAAAAGAAACCCTAAAACTGCTATTGAGAAGAGTTTTTCCATGGTAACATTTGTAACATTCCTATATTTTATCAATATATGTAGCCTAGTAGTCCAATTTATTTTTCTAAATAGGTGCATGGGTCTGTACATCATTTGGAAAATGCTGTCCGGTTAAGAGATCTTACTTAGTGTTGCCAAATTGTGTTTACTCGAGGTTTTTTATTTAAAATTAACCCTTCTGGACTTCTCTGGCTGGTGAGGCCATGTGGATACTGGGGAATTTTAGATGGGGAAACAGAACCTTTGTTTACACTGTAAATGGAGATCTGATTGCAGCAAATGGAGGTATGTATATAGCCTGAAGCTCACGAATTTCACTACCTGTATCACTATGACAATAGTCTGTGCCATCTCACCATTTTTTCATGTCCCAGTTACTGGGAATTAGGTGCTGCTGTACATCACATTGCTCAGGCTGAAACTGGGGTACTGTGCCCCAGCTGCTTGGTCTGCCTTGGCCGTTCTGTGCTCATTGCTGTACACCACAGGGGACTCCTCAAGAGCACAGCTTCACTCCAGGCCACTTCCTCATGCCCTCTGGGCACCTCAGTGATTAAAGCAAGCCCAAGCTGTTAGGGACACAATCCAGGCTTTCCTCAGCTCTGCTCTCCAGCTGCAAAGCCACTCTACCACCACTGGTGGAATAAAGGTGGTGCCAGGTTTGGGTGGCTGCAGCATCCTGACATCCCATCCTCAGTGGAAGGTACCACAGCCAGTTGTGTTAATGGACACCAAAATTTAATCTGATCAACAATGGACCACATGTCTCAAGGTCTGGAATCTGTTTTCTCTGATTCTCAAACACACAGAAGGAGTGCTTGCTTGTATTTCATAGACTCAAAGGCATAGTAACTGGCACGCATTTTTGAATGTCCTACGTAATTGAGCTTTTGAAAAAATATAATTGTGTTTGTGTATATTTTATTTATAATATATTTGGAAAAGCAATATAGGAAGAAATTCTTTTTTACCAATGCAAGGAAATACGTATGCAATTCATACATATGTGTGGACCTACCTGTAGTAAAATGTCCTCTACTTAGCTCTTAACTGATGTGACTGATTACAATGACTCCAAACTATATTCTTGTCTTGTTTTGTTGCAAGTTCCAGTTAGGATTGGGACTGTGAAAAGAGCAGGAGAAAATTGTTTATGTTACAAGGGACAGATAGAGCCCTCGTAGAGGGAATTGCTGAGCTGGAAGGAGTTGAGGCCTGAAGGCAGATATAAATTGGTAGATGCAAGAAAGCTTAAAATTGGATTAACCAAGTACATTGTGTTTAATTTTTGACACTCAAATTATTTCAGAGCATACAAAAAAAGTGGAACTCTTAAGCTGGGGTGACTTCAGTGACATATTTTGCCAAAATGTGCTTTAAAAATGTATTCTACAACAACAGCACTGGGAAAGATATCCTGATTTTGATTTAATTTTTCCTGTGTAATAGTATATGCTTCTTTTGATGTTCTGATCCAACTGTAGTATTTTGAATATTCAGATGTCTGTATTCTTACAGTTGCTTCCAGTTCCCTGAGCCTTTTGGTATTTCATCACGTAGGGCATTTGGATGCTCCATCACTTTCGTTAAGTCCTTTGCATCTGACTCTTGCCAAAGAATTATTACCTCAAAAAGAAATATATAATCCAACAGGTCAAAAGGTGTAATATCAGGAAAGGCTCTTATAAAAATCGCTTAGGAGTTGCATAGAGTCATCAGAAAAAGTCAAGATCAACTTTTCCACTCCATAAAGTATTCTTGTTGTGATTAAGATCTTTGCCTTTGGTTAATAATATTGCTATTATTAATTCTACTTACTTTTGTTATTGCCATGGCAACTTTTACTGTTGCTGTTACTTTTTGGTATTGTTACATAACAATTAATAACTACGTAGTAAGTTATTATTACAATTGTTGCTATTATTTTTTCTATGGTTATTTTACTGATTATTGCTCTGTCACAAATGTAAACATTTAAAAGCATTTAATTAATTAATTGATTAATTAAATATATATATTTTGTGTATTAAACCTCTTGATTGATACCCTTTTATATACTTGGAAGGCAGTCAGGATAAAAGTAGATTTTTTAAAGTACAAATTCTACAGATTTAAATTAGAACTGAGATACTCTTCTTGATTTGATTACTATACATCTCTGACAGTATGTTTAGAAATATCTTTAAACTTTGGAATATTTTTGTGGCACAATGAATTAGGCAAGTAATTTCTTATAAAATACTGAAATGAATGTGTTCTTCCATTAAGATCTCATGACCAAACAGAAGAAGCCTAGTGTGAAATTGTCACATGAGAAGCAGACATATGGTTTTGCCTCTGCCTGAGAAAAGTCATGCTTCAGATCATGTACAAAATTTTAGAAGCAGTTATTATATACATGTAAGTACCTCCCTTTCCA